TGTTATATTAATTCCAGTATTGCTGCGGCGTTTAAATCTCTGGGTTGTATTGATATTCTGGTGCTTAGAAATATGTATTTTTTCATTGTAATATCTTGGTTAGTATTTGTTTACAATTGAACGCATAAGCAGTGAGTATAGAGTTAAATATATAGTCACTGGCATAAGTTTTTGACTTCGCCGGCTGACGAGTACTAATTCCTCAACTTTAACTTGGAATCACAGAGAATATTGTAAATTAAACATTAATTCGAATGAAAAAAGTGGTTTAAGGAATTGGACACAACTTCCCTCGCCCTTCAAGTACAGTCCAACAAATTTAAGTTCTTAGAAAAATTACAACATTTGATTTTGCTAATTTTATTTTATTTTTTTGTGTGATAACCCATAAGTCAAAATCGGAATATTGCGGTCTATTAAAGTACAGGTGAAGAAGTATGCTATGCCCATGTTTCAAGTGAGTTTTTCGGTAACAATAAGAAATTACAATGAACGCTAAAATAAGTTCGATGTATTCTGTTGCAACAAAAGTATTATAAAAGATTTGAAAAAATATTTATAATTATCTCACTACTTTTCTTTTGTATTGTGTTTTAGCAAGGAACGAGCGATCAAATAAAAAATGCATTATATTATATACCCTGTTATCAGTGATTGGAACAATTAGTTTTAAAAAGTAATGCATTACAATTACAAATTACTTTTTTTAAGGAATTCATTACAATTACTCGTTACTTTTAAAAAGTATTGTATTACTTTACCAATTACCTTTTGCACTTTGAAAAATTTGATGAAGACGCAGTTTTAGATATTTGTTGTATGTATGAGTTCAAAGGGTCAAGAAAAAACATGTTAGAATAAAAAAGGCAGTGAGTGATTTATTGTACTAACGCATTTGTTGCATATTCACATCAGTAAATAAAATAAAACAAATAAATGCTTAACGCAAGAGGACTATATTCATAATTTAAATTCAATAATAATAATTGACATTCAAAATTTTTGTCAGCTAAGGCATGACGTGTTGTCTTAAAAACATCCGCGCCAACACTAAACATCCTTTCCACTGCGGCGCTAGGTGGAATCGTTGTCGGGCAATATGTTACATATTTTTTTAAAAATTGAATAACCGATTCTTTTGCACCTAATTTTATTCCATTCTAGCTACAAATAAAAGTTCGATGCCAATATCTTATTGGCTACATGTAAATGTATCGTAAATATTAGTCCACCTATAATTACCTGCGGACGCAAATCTTTTAATCTTTAATAAAAAGGATGTTCCTAAATATTTATAAGGGGGCTACAAGATAATGCGATCTTAAAAGTATCTTTAATTGTCTCTACTTGGCGTTGTGACTTACAGATTAAATTTAGAAAACTTTAGAGGGTGACAATTTTATTGTCGGATTCAAGTTTTTGATTCTTCAATTTTTCGATTTTTCCACTTTTCGATTTTTCAGTTTCTCAATTTTTGCATTTTTTGATTTTTTTTTATTTCCATTTCTCGATTTCTCCACTTTTCGATGTTTCGATTTCTCGGGTTTTTGATTTTTCAATTTTTCGATTTATCGATTTTTTCACTTTTTATATGTTTCAGTTTTAAGATTCTTAGATTTTCGGTTATTTAAGCTTTTTGTTTGTATTTTTCGATTTTTGGTGTTTCTAAATTTTAGATTTCTGCATTAAGCGATTTTTGGATTTTATTTATATTCCCATTTTTCGATTTTTCAATTACAGTTCATCAATTTTTTAATTTTTGGAGATTCGACTCCTCGATCTTTCGATTTTTCGATTTCTCAGTTTTAGATTTTATGGTTATTCAATTTTCCAATTTTTCGATGTATCGACTTTTTAAAATTTTTAATTTTTCATTATTTCAATATTTAAATTTTTGATTTTACACAATTTCGACTTCTGGGCTTTTCGATTTCTCGATCCTTTCATGTTTCGATTTCTCGATGTTGTTTTCAGTTTTTCGATTTCTTGGTTTTTGAACTTCCAGTTTTTCCGTGTTTCGATTTCCCAATTTTTCGACATTTTTCCACGTTTTGATTATTCATTTATTCAATTTTCTGATTTTTCAATTTTTTGATTTATCGACGGGCTCTATCGGTTACCTGTTTAGATTTGAATGGACCAGAAAAATGGCTAAAGTTTGTTTGACCACAAATTTTAAATATTCTGTCCCTGTTTACTCAATCATTTATTAAGATATTTTATTTCTGTAAAGCACAATGGATTTTTTAATACAATTTCAACTAATGTACCTTTTTGAAAATATAAAATTGATCCATAAATAGCGAAAACCAGATAATATCATACTCATTACAATTTTAACGCGTTGTAGTTTTTTTTTATAACAAAATTTAAAAAACGGAAAAGCAGTCTGGGTAGGGTTTTTTAAGCTCATTTCAACGGTGTGAAGTTTATTCGGACATATACTTTTGGCAAAAACTTGGGTAAACGATTCGTAGAGAAAAACAAAATAATATTTTTGAGTATTTGGATTAAAAGTAATTGTAAAAGTGACTGAATTAGTTGTAATTGAATTACTTCCAACCACTGCCTGTTACATAATGTTGCCAATGTAGTGTATTGGCTAATCAAGAGAGGTAAATTGTCGCAGAATCTGTAATTATTTTTAAATTTTTTATTTTATTTTAAAGGGTCTGAATGTATTAAAATCGTCCAGTTAAAATCATTCAATGCCATTTTGAGTTTTGTATATACAGGGTGTTATTGAAAGGTACGTGCAATAAAATTGACAGTTCTTCGCGAAATCTAAGAAGTCTCAAAAACTTATTTTGTATTATCAAAATTATAAGGGGAAAATTAACCCCTATCCCAACTTTTTAAACGCTACTGAAAGATACATAGGTAAAATTAATTTATTTTAGTACATCCTAGCAACTGTAACAATAATAAAAAAGTAAGAGACCCTTTTGTTGCTATAGAAACGAAAGATAACATTTTTATCAGAGGCGTACAACGAATTTGGACATAAATTTTAATAATTGCTATCTCTAAAAGGAGAACACTTTTACCTGAACTTTTTTTTACTTTTAGCACCCATACTTCGAGACCAATGGCCGATTTTATGTTGTACGTACCTTTCAATAACACGCTGTATTAAAGTAGTTTCTGGACCAAATAAATAACTTGTCACCTTTGAAATTTGAAACCAATAAGAGGAAGGAACAGTAATGCAATTTTATTAAAAAAAAAAAGAAATCAAATTACAATAAATAACAAACAATTCTATTATTCAACAACCTGTAACATTTTTATATGGGCATAATTTTTATAACAATTATTTATTGCTATTTAAACTTATTCGTGTTGGTTTTTGAATTTTTATTTTGTAGTTGTTTCAAAATTTAATATATATGTAGCTAATAAATAATGTAGATTTAAAGGTCAAACTGCCATGTATATCAATAATAATAATTAAATCCTGATTGTTCTATGCATCATTCGTGCCCATTATTATTATCATCTTTCTCGAAAAAATGGATATAAATACCTATGGCCGTAATCATGAACAAAATTGTGATTTACAATTAAAAAAAGAGTCCTGCATTTTCAAGATCAAAATATATTTGTTTATTATTTATTTAATATAGATCCACATTATACATGTTTAAAAAAAATCAACATTGCGTAACATTTCAAAATTTAACTCAGGCTGCAAAACCGAATCATCTCAAAATTTTGCTGAATAAATCTTATCTGGTTTGTGTGTGCAAAATATTATGAGTCTATACATGGGCTTCATACTCATATTTTTTAGAATTGGTTTTTATCAAATCGAGAACAGTTCACCCCATTTTCCCGAAAATTTGAGAATACAGCACTGTTATTAATATTACACTGCACCTATTCAAATTGATGTACGTGTCCTTGCTGAAATACAGAATAAATCCAATCACTGGGCTATGCAGTAAAAAAAAGATGTAATGAGATAATTGAAATTAGGATTTTTTTTTTTCAAATAGGCATACGTCTTTGGTATTTCTTTCATTGTAACTTGAAACATACTCACAGCATATTTCTTCACCTGTCTTTAACGATCCAGACATATTTTTATTTTAACTTATAAGGTTTAAAAAAAAATAAAATTTGGAAGTTCTGTGTAATACTTTGTGTGTTCAAATGTATAGCAAAAGTGTGAAATCTTATTTTGCATATAAAACATATACATCTAGTCTAGACGATTTCTTAAATATCGGATGTTCAATTCAATTTAAAAAAGTCATCAAGTTGGCCTTAATTTTTTGTAAACATTGTGAAGTATGTCTATAATAAATCCAAAGTTTAATTGATGGCAGCCCACAACATGGATCAAATCTATACACTACAGTATAGATTTGATTAATAAAACACATTCGTCTTTCGCTCTTTTCTTCTATTAAAAGAGCAAGTCAACTTGATGATTGATCTATTATTATCCAAGAAATTGTTGACAGAACAAAACCATATGTCAGGGTTTCCCTCACTATCTGTTATTAAAAAGATTTTGATTTCAGAGTCATAACGGACAACAGTAGTCTATTTATTAATGTTAATTTATTTGTTGCGCATATTTATTGTCCTCAATTGAGTAAACTTAAATTTTTAACATCTGCTAAACATTTAAGACATACCAGTACATTTGAAACTCCAGTGCCGAAAACAAACATTATGAAAGCTAGAATAAATTATTATGTCTTGACTAGTATTAGTTAAAAGAATGAACCTTTTGATTATTTAAATTGAGCATGTTGGATTACTATACATAGTAATAATAATAATAATGAAATCATCATTTATTGCGTCGTTAATATTTGTAGAAAACACACTTTTTTGAAATATGTATTTTAGTAAAATACTATTTTTTTCACTCCTTCGTTGTTGGAAGAACTTAAAATGACGCAGCTCGCTTCGCTTGAGTGAACGAAAAAAATTAAAAAAAAATGTTTCTGTCTACAAGTTCTAATTAACCTTAATATTACATACAGGTCGCAGCCGTTACCAGATGACTCGTGTGGCAAGAGCGGTGCAAAATTTTATTTAAGCTCGGACAAATTATTCGTCATCAAAACGTTGACTTCTGAAGAGGTGGAGAGGATGCATTCGTTTCTCAAACATTACCATCCGGTAGATTCTATTTTACTGTTTGTAATTTCTTTATATAACGTTTTTTTTTTTTTCAGTATATTGTTGAGAGACATGGCAAAACTTTATTACCCCAATATTTAGGAATGTACCGCTTAACGGTCGACAATGTAGAACACTACATCGTCGTCACTCGAAACGTTTTCTCAAATCATTTAAATATACATCGAAAATTCGATTTAAAAGGGTCCACGGTTGACAGGGAAGCATCGGAGAAAGAGAGGGAAAAGGATCTACCCACACTCAAAGATAACGATTTTGTTAATGAACAAATGAAAGTTTATATAGGGGAGGAAGCGAAACAAAAACTGATGGATACTCTTAACGCGGACGTAGAATTTTTGACCAAGTTGCATCTAATGGACTATAGTTTGCTGCTAGGTAATATCTATTTATTTATTTTTACTCAAGTCCTAAATGTTATTGTATAGGACTTCATGAAGTGGAAAGAGGCGAGCAAGAGTTGGCAAGAGAGAGAGAACTGGAATCGGAAAATGCAGGTCAGGATTCTGAGGAAAGTGAATCTGGTTCGGGGCTCGAAAACCGTAATTTTGGTTTCAATACGCCGCCGGATTCCCCCAATGCTCTCGCTCAGTTCATGAGAGAGCAGAGTTTGCAATATGAAGGTAAAATATCGGTTATTAAAATTTTTGGTAATAGAAAATTATGTGTTTAAACTGTTCGTAGGAGGAATAATCCCCGAATTGGACATCTATGCCATACCAAGCTGCGACTCGGCCCCCGTGAAAGAAATCTATTTTATAGCCATAATCGACGTTTTGACTCACTATGGCGTTAAAAAGCAGGCCGCGAAGGCGGCGAAAACGGTGAAATATGGCTCAAACGTAGATGGAATAAGCACTTGTGATCCCGATCAATACGCTAGGAGGTTTATAGATTTCATGAGTAAAGCAATCGAATAAATTCGAGCAAAGAAGGAATTTTCAGCTACTTTCTCGTTATGTTTATAATTGTAAATATTTAGATATGTACATAAATAATATGATGGACATCTTGTGTTGATAGTCAATTCTACAGCAGTCAGCACTCGTTGCAATTTTTTATTGGGAACCTGCGCGCTACACGATTTGATATCAATGTTTGATTAGCAGTATTAAGGCCCCAATTTCAATTAGATCAGTGTATGGATGGATTCTTCAGAACTTTGGCTTGACTGATAGATTTCGCCGATTTTTAGATCTGTCTAAGGCTTCTAATTCATGGACGTACTTTGTAATTTTTTTTTAAGACAATAATGTCGCAAAAGGTTTTTACACTTTTTATATAAGATTTTTACTACTTTTCAAGACAGGTTTCTTCTTTGCTACCGGTTTTTCGATGGTATACGAAATTTCGGGATTAGTTTGCCAAACGAGCTTTAAAAATATCTATTGTTATTTTGTATTTAAATTTTATATCTAGTCTATGTTTATTGCTATGGATTAATACTTTGGAAAATTTTCTATTTCCACTATCAGTATATTTAAGGTAACTTGTCTTTATATGTATCAGCTGTGTTTTTCATAATAAATTCTAAGAAAATACGAGGTTTTTTATTCTATTCATTTCAAGTGGCAAAGAAGCGTAGCGAGTACCCTCTCTCGCACACAGAATAGTTAGGACTGGGAACAAAAATTGATCTAAGGTTATTCAGACAGAACTTCCGTTCGGGAAATAAAAAAGATAATTCGTAAACGAACAATACAAACAATTAACATAATTTTATTACTCTATAAATTTTTTAATAAATACAAAAGCATATATGAAAAACAATGTAAGTAAATACTTAGTCAACAATTACTTTTATCCCCTTCTTCCATGTTCCCCAAAGTGACATCAGCTTCTTTTTTCCCCCAATTATCATTCCTATGCACTGTCATCATGTGCCTTCTCCAGCCGTCCCTTCGTTTTGACTTGTATGAGCATAAATCACATGGATACCACTTGAGTAAATCATGACTTGTATGTCTACACTTAACATGTTCCTTTAACCCATGAGCAGTCTTAGTTATAAAGGGACATTCTTCACAATAGAACGTCCCATAATTAGGATACTGATGTACAACACTGAGGTGTTTCTTCAACGTACTTTTCAACTTAGTTTTATACGGACACAAATGACAAGGAAACCACTGTATTTCTTCCTCACTTACATGTTTAATTGCTTTATGTTTAACCAAACTATTTTTATATTTCGTTTTAAATGAACACTGATCACACTCAAACAACGTGACATTTACAATTTCGTGCTTATTGTTCACGTGCTCTTTTAACTTTTTCCTCCATTTAAATTTCATGGGGCAAAAATCACAAGCAAACCACTCAATGTCTTGTTCGTCTGTGTGTTTATTGATTATGTGGTGTTCGATGCTCAGTTTGTACATGGAAGTAAATGAACACCTATCACATAAATAAAGCGGCATTTTTTCCGAGGGTCCGTGCGCATGGTTGATATGATTTTTTAAATTGCCTAGAGTTTTCGATTTGTACGGACACACACCACATGTATGCCACTTGATTTCTTGTTCGCTCGTGTGCTGACCCGCTGTGTGTTTCGCTAAGTTACTTTTATATCTTGTTTTATAATTGCACTGGTCACATTCAAACAAAGTGGCATTTTCAACTTGGTGCTTCCCAACCATGTGTTTTTTTAAATTTTTTTTCCACTTCGATTTGTACAAACACAAGTCACATGTAAACCACTCAGCGTCTTCGTCTTTTGTGTGTTTCGTTACAACGTGATATTCTAAACTCTCTTTATAAATAGACACAAACGGGCACTTATCACACTGAAAAGGTGTCGTTTTTGAATTATGCTTGACACTCATGTGCCTGCTAAGATTTCTTTTATCTCTAGCTTTGTACGTGCATAAAGTACACATGTGCCATTCTATGCTTTCACCCACTTTGTGGCCCTTTTTCATGTGTTGCCTCAATTTTTTCTCAAGTCGGGTTTTATACGAACACTTGTCACATTTAAACCACTTTTGGAGGCACTTGTTTTTCTTGTGCTCTAACCAGTGGGAAAGTATGAATGTTGCAAAGTTGCAAATTTCACAGCGGTATATTTTTCCAGAGTGATTATCGTTGATGTGATTGTTGAACTCTATCGTTAAATGGGTGCTAAAGTTGCAATTTTTACAGAAAAATGGTTCGGGAGTGCTTTCTGAACAGCTGAATAGTTCGGTCTTTGAGATGCGATGGCGTTCTTGGTGTTTCAGAAGGGAATTTAATGATTTTGTGAAATAGGTGCATTTGTTACAGTTATGTACTGCATTTGGATCCAGTGTGGTGGACATTTTACTAATTCTTACTAAGTTTTGACTAGTAAAGAAACTATCAGAAAGCTGCTAATTGAGACCTAAATATTGCCAAATCTGAAATCTGCTCCACTTTTCTTGAGTACTACGGACAGATTAATTAGTTTTGATAACAAAGTGTAACTCCGTATGCTTTACTTATTATAAAATTAAATTGTTTTTACTATAAATCTCTCCGAGGATTCCACTTGACGTTTAATGTTAATTTGAGGTTATGTTTGTTGGTTATAACGTTAAACGTCAACTATGTCAACATCCTCTTTGCGGTGGTATTGTGGTATTCTCTCTTTAACTTTAGCTTGGAAGTTTTAAAGCCCCCGAATTGTCTGATGATGATTCCAAATTCTACAACTAGACATATACTGTGACCAAACAGTGGCGTAACACTACTACATAAAAAATTTTGCGTTTAGGCATCGTCAGTGATTGGAACAATTACTTTTAATTACAAATTACTTTTTTTTAAGGAATTCATTACAATTACTGTGATAACCCAAACTTCCCGTTTTAAATTGACCTTGAAAAAGTTTGAAAGGCCCGCTACGTTGTGTTTTTTTTTTTGAAAAGTGGCGGGAAGAGGTTCTTTCTTTTTTTTGCGTGTGAATCGGGAGCGCGAGAAATAATAGACACAATTTTTGGGAAGAGGCTAAAATTTGCCCCCCTCTCCAGGAGGAAAAGTGCTGCGAACATTCACTTCTCAGCCCAAAAACCCCCTATCGTATATTCACCGACATATTACATTTTAAATGAAACACCTTAAAAATATGAAAGAAAAGACAACCGCGAATTGATAGACATATACATATGAAAACCAAACAAATACAAAACCCTACGTTTATGTTTTGAATCAATGCAACTATTTGAATATCACAAATTTAATAGAAACAAAGCAAAATCTGAATTAAAGTAACTGGATGCAAATACATAAGTTATTACGGGCGTGTGGCGTCAAATTTAAAGTTACGGCAGTTAACAGGAGCACAACAAAGATACCTTTGGGGCGTTCTAGCACAAGCGGAGTTTGGGGCTACCGGTCGGGGCTGTTCTCCCCCTCGACCGTGATTCTATCTATAGCAAGCCTACCCGCACAGCACATCACACATCTCCATGACGAACATGCCGTCGGAAACTAGGCCGTTACGATCGCAGACCCGCAGTTGGATCTCGGCTAAGGACAGAAGCCGAGAGCGTTACAACAACTGCGACCGCCCCTGAATCTATCCAAACCTGTACCCCAACAATTTACTTTGAGAGTTTAAAATACCGTGAACTGTTTACCCCAACAAAACACATAATAAATAAACACAAAAATAGCCAATCATATTTGCGAGGAAAAAACGTCTCGGTGATGTGAATTTTATCATTGCGAGGGAATACCTCGATGGTGTTATCAATCTCTAGCGTTGCGAGGACATACCTCATTGATGTTATCAATCTGTAGCGTTGCGCGGACATGCCTCGATGAAGTAATCAATCTTTAGCGTGGCGAGGACGGGCCTCAGTGATGTAATCAATCTTTAGCGTGGCGAGGACATGCCTCGGTGATGTGATCACGATACGATTTAACTGCCGTAAATGAACTATTCGCAATCTTGTGTGGAGAATTAAGAAGTGTTACAATGTAACACTTAAGTATATGCATCCAGAAACTCACTCGTAATTAAACAACAAAGGTGTTATCCTGACTAAGTGAATTTCATGAAATCTTCTAGCAAGTGGTTTATTTAAATAATCATGATTGTTAAATTGTGTTAACACTAGCTGATGATTAAGAAAAACTAACTTGATTGGTGAATTTACAAACAACAAAACAAATCTACAGCACGTGGTCCGCGTTGAAAAATCGCATGTTTTTTCGATTAAAAGCCGCAAGAATTACCGCGCGGATTGGGGAAACAAAGGCTTCCTCCCTTTTATTAACTACTAAACCAGCTAACTTAAACCTAGCTACTCACAGCGTCCTTTCACCATGCATCCACTACACATAATGACTCACGCTTTCAACATGCCGCTCTTTCCAACCAAGCCGCCCTCTAACTAAAATCCCCTAGCGCTACTAACTGCCCAACTATCCAACAAGCGTTACCATGCACCTGGTTGCCTATGTTTAACGATTTTTGATTTGAATGTTTTTTTTTCTCAAATTCAAATTATTCAAATGTGATTTCGCGTCGCTGTTAATTTCAGCGCGAAAATTTTGATTCAAATTCGGTCACCACATTACTTTTTGGACAAATTTGATGAAGACACAATTTTAGATATTTGTTGTATGGATCCAAAAGGTCAAGAAAAAACGTGTTAGAACGAAAAAGGCAGTGAGTAAATAAAATAAAACAAATAAATACTTCACGCAAGAGCGCTATATTCACAGTTTAAATTCAGTAATAATAATAACTGACATTCAAAATTTTCGTCGGCTAAAGCATGACGTCAACACTTAACATCCTTTCCACTGTGGCGCTAGATAGAATTGTTATCGGTTGTGGGACAACATGTTACATATTTTATCAAAAATTGAAGAGCCGATTCTTTTGCGCCTAATTGCATTCCACTCTAGCTACAAATAAAAGTTCGATGCCAACTGCAACAATTTTTAAACAAAAATTTGCATTGGTGGGAGATTTCAAAATACCTTAGTGGCTACGTGTAAATGTGTCGTAAATATTAGTTCACCGATGTTATCTGCGGACGCAAATCTTTTAATCTTTAATAAAAAGAATGTTCCTAAAAACTTAGAAGGGGGCTACATAATATGGTAAACTTAAAAGTCTGTCTTTACTTGGCGTTGTGACTTACAGATTAAATTTAGAACACCTTAGAAGGTGGACACTCTCATAAAATTTTATTGTCGGATTATGAGGGGTTTAAAAGGATAGGCTCTATCGATTAAATTTGAGTGGACCAGAAAAATGACTAAAGTTTGTTTGACCACAAATTTTAAATATTCTGCCCCTGTGTACTCAATTATTTATTAAGATATTTTATTTCTGTAAAGCGTAATGCATTTTTTCATACAATTTCTGCTTATGTACTTTTTTGAAAATTTAAAATTGATCCATAAATAGCGAAAACCAGATACTCTCAAACTTATCACAATTTTAACGCTTTGTTGTTTTTTTTGACAACAAAATTTAAACAGCGGAAAAGCAGTCTGTGTAGGGTTTTTTACGCTCATTCCAACGCTGTGAAGTTTATTAAAATCGGACGTATACTTTTCGCAAAAACTTGGACAGAAGTTTATATGTATTTCCCTATGCTGGAATATGCTTTAGCTCACCCTTAAAATGATGAAGAGCTTATGTATATTATTATGGTTACCTGCTTTCTTAACAAATTATATGCTAAACTCGTTTTAGATTTTAACTCCCTATTGGGTTAATCTTCTCTCTGCAGGGACGAACCAGATATAATAATCCCAGCAGGTCAGGTAAACGATTCGTAGAGAAAAACAAAACAATATTTTTGAGTATTTGGTTTAAAAGTAATTCTAAAAGTGACTGAAATACTCAAAAAGCAGTAATAAATTACTTGCAATTGAATTACTTCCAACCACTGGCAGGTATTAAAAGGACATAAATATGTCTAAATTTAGTTTGTAATTGTACCAATAAAGGGTAACTGTTTAAACGAAAATGAATCGCGTTCGACGCTGCAGCCCCTCCCAACGAGCATAATTAGTGAGATCAGTTTAACAACGATTTTTTGAGATGTCGTGAAACTCTTGACGAATCCATCAACATTTTTATTTCACTATTTGTAAATTCATAATTCACGCCAGGCTTTATAACTTCATGATTCTAATGCAATTTTTGTGGCAAAACTGCGCTTGAATGTAAATGTTCACGTAAAGCACGTGGCACAAATTCAATAATTATTCAAATTCATTTTAGTAAGTAGTACGCTTCATAACTTATAACTAGAAAGCGGATTTCTAGGTTTAATGCTTTTTGTGAAAAATGTAAGCACTTCAAAACTTTTTTATACATATCTGTAACTATGATACAATTTGGAGTCATTTGACACATTTTTTTTTATGCTTATTTGCTTTTTTTTCAATTTTATGCATATTAAAACTTATATGCTTATTTAATGCTTTTTTCGACGAATATGAGTTTTAATGCATATTTTGTTCAAATGCCGGCCTTGTCGGGATGACAAATACTTGTTAGTTAGCCGCATCGTATCGTATGCATTTTACCTGGACTTGACCATTGAAGTACACTTACTCAAGATCCTTTCTGTGAATAGGTTCTGGTCGTTTGGGTAATAAAATTTTATTACAGGATTGGAAAAATACTCCACAGATTTTATGACTTTAAATCCTTACTTCCGTTGATAATGAATTAAAGCTTTTAACCAGATGTTCTTTTTCGGCATTTTGCGGCAAGACCGTTGAAGATTTTCTAAAAAAAAGGATTATTGTACCCAACTACCTACCTTAAAATTTTTCTAATGGAAACTTTTAAGTAAATAATGAACCGTTTATTTCACAACCATCAGTCTATCGCATCTGTCGTAGTACAGTGTTATACGTGGTTCTCCCTTGTTACATGTTGAGTTCTTTTTGGTAATATTACTAATATTTTAAAAGAATGACGAAAGTAAAATCAACGCCGGATGAGTGGATAAGGGATTTTCCAGAATTAAAATTAGAAAACAACAAAATATTCTGCAGAGCTTGTATGTAAACCGTAAGCCCACTAATTTTTTTTTATCTATTTTGCTTTGTTAATTCTGTATATGTACGTTGTTTTAGATTCAAAGTGATAAAAAATATAACGTGACGCAACATGTCAGAACGACTCTTCATGTAGAAAGGAAGAAAATGTTTGAAGTTTCTAAAATTAAACAGCAGACCATACATGAATCTATTGCATTTACTTCCACAAAAGATTAGCAGTTTCAGTTTAATTTCGATTTATGTAAAATGATGATCCAGTCCAATATACCTTCAAAAAAATTGGAGAAAGGCCCTCTTCAAGAATTCCTTGAAAAAACTGCAATCGACATATTCCGGTTGAAAGTACTCTCCGAAAAAATTATGTAGACCCAGTGTTTCAGCAAGTTTACAACGAAATTAAACATCGCATTGGAGATAATTATTTACGGTTCGCTGTCGATGAAAAAACCGATAGTTATGGAAGATACGTGGCAAGTTTAATTGTTGGAATCTTAAATGAAAATTTCCCTAGTCGAGGGTATGTAGTAAGTTTGAAAATGTTAGATAAAACAAATGGCAATACGATTACCAGATTTGTAAATGACAGTCTTACGTCACTATTTTTGCCAAATGCCGTACCGGCGAATAAAATTTTATTGATGATCTCGGATGCAGCTCGTTATATGTTGAAAGCAGGGAATAATCTAAAAATA